CTGGCTGGTGGTCAGGTGTGGGTGGCCCCCCCCTTGGATGGCGGTCAGGTGCGGGTGGCCCCCCTGGCTGGTGGTCAGGTGTGGGTGGCCCCCCCTTGACTGGTGGTCAGGTGCGGGTGACCCCCCTTGGCTGGTGGTCAGGTGCGGGTGGCCCCCCCGGCTGGCGGTCAGGTGCGGGTGGCCCCTCACCTGTTTGCAGAAGCGCAGGAACCCGATGGAGTAGGACATGCCCTGCAGGCAGCAGGTACTGTACAAGCAGCTGGATCTGGGAGCAGGCGCAGTTGATTGGGGTTTGGTGGATGCCTGGTCCCCCAGCCCAACCCCCACGTGGAGGGCCTTGGCAGGTCCAAATGGACATACCTGGCCCCCCATTTGTCCCCCTCCCTCTCCCTAGGGAGACTGAGTGGCCACCCTGCTCCCTGTGCCCATCTCTGTCCCTGTCCCCAGGCCTGGTATGAGCCTTGTGTGACTCGGGGACACCAGGTTCAGTCCCCACATGGAGGGCCTGGTGGGGTTGGGGTGGTCAGCACTCACTGGACAGGTTTCCCCCGAAGCTCAGCCATGATGGCACTCTCTCCACCCAGGTACTGGAAGCAGAGGCTCAGGAAGCTGTAGATGACAAAGGCTGGGGGTGCAGACGTGAGTTCAGGGCCGGGAGCCACAGTTCCCTCCAGATGCCAGCATCTCACACCAAACCAATGACCAGCCCTCCTCCAGGCCTGTAGGGAGTCCGGCTGCCCCCTGAGAGAGCCCATTTCATGGAGGAGAGGTAGATGCCCAAGATGAGGTGTGCCTAGCTGGGCCACCTGACAGGGCCATCCCCTCGAGCAGCCTGGTACTGAGCCACTGGGAAGGCTTACAGTTCATCATGGCCCTCAGGGCAACTCTCAGGGCCCCCAGCCGCTGCCCAGCACCCCTTCGCCTACCATCCAGCCTTAGGCAGCCTGCCTGCTGCCTTTCCCCAATAGACCTATTGCCAGCCCCTGCCCCAGGGCAGCCTGTCTGGATGAACTCACTTGTCCAGACTGGGGGTTGGGCGTCCAAACAGACAGAACCTAAAGAGCTGAACTGACAGCTGTCCAGCCAACTGGTGGGCAGGGGTGCCCAGAGGGGTCATGATGGGGCAGCAATGCCCAGAGGGGTCAGGATGGGCAGGAGTGCCCCAAGGGGTCAGGACAGGACAAGGGTACCCAGAGGGCATCCCTGACCATGCATCTCTATGGAAGCTGACATCTTTCTCCCCAGGAGCAGGTTAGGGGGTTTCTAGCCATCAGCCTTTCAGTTAGCAACCAAGCACTTGACCCCCACACCAGGGCTACTGCTTTTCTTAGACGCCTTCAAGTTGATGGCGCCGAGAAAACAGGCCCGGTGTTGCCCTGCCCCCGGCTCAGAGGAGTCCTGTCTGCAGGGCTTCCAAGGCTGTAAACCCTCACAGACGCAGACTGCTTCATCTTTATCCTGAGGAGCTGCTGGTGGACTCAAACCCCCAACCTTTCAGCTAGCTGCCGGGGCCTTCACCACTCCTCCAAGTGGAGGACTGGCACTGGTGAAAGAGTGCCACGAGTGACTGTGGGAGCCCCAACTCTGTCCCATCATACTGGAGCCCTGGAAGCCACGGGAGCTCAGGTGCCCTCGAGGGGGTGTGCCCTGGGGGTAGGGGTGCCCTGGGGTGGGATGCCCTGAGGTGTGGGGTACCCTGGAGTGTGTGTGCCCTTAGGTATGGGGTGCCCTGGGGGTGGGAGGTACCCTGGTGTGGGAGTGTCCTGAGGTGTGGGGTGCCATGGGATGGGTTCCCTGGGGGTGGGGGTGTCTTGGGGTGTAGGGTGCCCTGGGGGTGGGGGTGTCTCAGGGTGGGGGTGCCCTGGGGTGTATGTAGGGTGTCCTGGGATGGGGTACCCTGGAGTGGG